GTCACTCTGGTAGGTTTACACCACAAGATTTACATTACAAGAGTCTGATTATCATAAATATACTATTATTATATTTCATGGCTGTGTGCGATAGGTCTACCTGGAAAGGCTGTTGACATACGCTGAGATGGACATCTGTCCTTGTAACTGGAAGCGAATTGTTCTCGGTGCCATCCTGCTGGCCTCCAAGGTCTGGGATGACCAGGCTGTGTGGAACGTCGACTACTGCCAGATCCTCAAAGATATCACAGTGGAGGACATGTGAGTGTTAATTCTCATTTAGGAAAGTTCATTGAACAAAAACCAATTGGGTAACCTAAGACCAATTTGTTTTTTGAAAAAAATGTTGAATGCTCTGACCGATTGTCTGCTTTCTGCAGGAATGAGATGGAGCGCCACTTCCTGGAGCTGCTCCAGTTCAACATCAACGTCCCAGCCAGCGTCTACGCCAAGTATTACTTTGACCTGCGCTCACTGGCTGACGACAACAACCTCGGCTTCCCTCTGGAGCAGCTGAGCAACAAACGGGCCCAGAAACTGGAGGTCAGTATGTCTCTCAGGCTGCATTCACACTGTAGGTGAAAGTGTAATTTTTGTTCTTTAGGTAGTAATAGTTTTGTGCTTCTGATTGTGTCTGTAGGCAATCTCCAGGCTGTGCGAGGACCAGTACAAGGACCTGAGTAAAGCTGCTGTGAGGAGGAGTGTCAGCGTGGACAACCTGGTGGGCTTCAAGAACTCGCAGGCTGTGCTGTCTTAGGTCTGCGCCAGCCGCCTCAGCTCTGGTGAGGGGGTGGAGCAGTGGAGCTTAGGGTGAAGAGAAAGGAAGTGATGTCACGTTCAAGAAGCCTGCAATCTCCAAGAGACGTTTCCAAAGTAGATTGCGTAAATATCAGTAACTGAAAATGAAATGTTAAATGTCGACTTTGGGGAGAAACAGAAGACCGGGAGCTTACCATACAATATCTCTAAAATATAATGAATTCAGTCTTTATGTGTTCATTACAAAGAACTTAAGCTATCTTAAGCATGGTCATTTGGTGAAATATTTTGCAGATTGTCAGTTGTTTTGTTTTTTTAATGGTGGATGTGTAACTTCAGAAGGAATCAGCATGAAAATGCTTCGTGACATCACACAAATTGAGGACCTCATCTTCTTTTTCTTTTTCCACATCAGCCGATCTTTTGGGGAGTCATTTCTCTGGCCTCGGCCCTCTTCTCTCCACATGATGACTGTCTCGAACTACCCTGTGGTGTAGTTCTGCACATGGACAAAGAGTAGACTTTGTTTTGCTTACTGTGTAGGCCCCTATAGCTGTGAAATGTACAAGACTTTATTTAATTCAAATAAATTTCAGTCGCTGTTGAAAGTCGAGGCTGCTTAGGTGAGTAAATGTGTCGTGGTGTTTTTTTTATTTTGCAGGAGCTGTGAGCTTTTTGTTTGGTAAATGAAGGTGTTTGACTAAGGAGTTTTACTATGATATGAGATAGCATCTATGGAATCCTGTTCTTTGTGCTAGAAGAGCCACCATGTTTGTTTCAAACAGTACAACGAAAATAGAACTTTGTCAGCGTGACATATTTGCTTTGAGATTATACACTTTAGTTGAATTTCACATTACTGTATATCTCTGGTGACTGATCATATCAAATTAGAGTTGTGGGTGGTTTTTTTGTGGTAAATTAATTATTTACAGTCTCCAAAACATGCCATTATTAGCTCTTCCAGCAAAATGATCCATTCGTATAAACAATCAGTCTTTATAAGTTAAGTTCTTTAGTGCAATTGTCCTCTTAGAGTCCTTAGAGTAGGAAGAGCTGCAGAAATGAGAAGTATGATTGCATGTTGCATGTGCTGTCCTGAATATTTCGTGATTTATTCAGCCCACTATGTCTGCATCATAAACCTTAAAAATTAGGAACATTTTCACTCCAGACACTAATGCCAGTACCTAAAATCAGGGCATAAGATGAGATATAACTTTATTAATCCCCCATATGGGAAATTTCGGTCGACATAGCAACACAAAGGAATATAAAATAACAGATGCAGTATTGTAGAACATTCAACATAGATGTATAAATATATATACACTGAAAGCACACTGTGCAATCAATATACAATTAACATTCAGCGACCCGCGAAAATAAACTGTTGTATTGTAGCCTACTATATTACTCTGTAGTGACTGCAGCTTATATGCTTAGTATTATTGGCTTTTTAGTGCATCCTCCAATTAGTACTACAAATGATAATATGCTTGCTACTGTGTGACAAGCAGTGCGTAAATGAATAACACTTTAATATTACCATAATGGGCGGAATTGCGGTCTCTCCTTGAGCAATGGCATTTTTCAGGCCCCCTGCCCCATTTTTCTTTTAAATAAAGCACTTAAATGCTCATTTCTAATGACTTTTGAAAACAGAATGTACATATTAGTGTGGCTGAAAGAGTGTCTTTGTAGTGACAGAAGGTGGAGAATGGACTGAGGAGGGGATATTATAAAAACTCGAAGAGGGAGAGGGTCAGAGAGAGGGAGTATAATATCACTAGAACAAAACTGACTACATACCATAAAACCATGGAACAGCTGCTAGTTAATGTAACTAGTATAAATGTATTTAGTTATCCTAATGTTACACTTGATGTAAGCTGTCTGTGAAATTCCCTGTGTCTCACTTGGCCCTGCCTCTCCCTGCAACAAATGTGAACACAGAACTGTCTTCAAAGCAAACTCTGATGACATGCAGCCTGCCAAATAAAGTCTTTTTACTACGTGAGTTTTAGAATATACTACTACTACCAATATCTACTAGCTATCCATACAACTTACAATCTCGTCCTCCTCAGTTTTTTCTACTCCTCCTCCTGTGACCTCTGTCTTCTTCCTCTTAAAATACTACAGGATGCTCATCTTTGTGTGAACATTTTGAATACTTTTCAATTGTTTGTGGACACGTAGCAGAGACACATGCACACATTATGGCACATGTTTTCAAGGTCAAGGATGGTCACAGACAGAGGCCAAAAAGTGGCCCAGGAGTTTGTCCCTGGTCAGCCCGCTCTCCAGACAAAGCATTTGTCGGGGCTCTGGGTCTTTAGAGACATTTATTCCTGCATTCTTGAGAAATTTAGGCAAGTAGAGTACATAACTAAATTAGCCTTTAAAATACATTTTCAAAACTAGAAACATCCCTCTAACACCCCTAAAGTAAAGTAATCACTTCAGCTGAGCCCTTGAGTAGATAACTAAATACCCCATATCATCATCATCAATATTACCATAAACTGGTGCTTTGGACTGTGCTGGCTTTGACTCTGTTCTGCTATTGACCTCATCTCTGCTGTCTGTCGTATGTTCACCATGTCAGCGCTAATACTGGTGCTGCTGGCCAGTGGCGGGTAGAGTACTCAAAATCTTTACTCAAGAAAAAGTACAATTACTCCCATAAAAAGTAAAAGAAAAAATGACAAACCTACTCATGTATAAATATAATAATATATTTATCTGCTGTTCATCAGGTTAGAAACAGCTGCAACATGGTTATTTCTAGGGAATGCAATTTGCTTTGCTGATTGATTATCTTTCCTAATAATAATAAATTATAATTATTTTCCTTTTTAAATCTCCCTGAATGTGTTGATAAGATCACTTTAAAATACCACGCTTGCTGCCCAGCCGACTATTGTTGCCTGTAAATTTTATTATGGACATGTAGCCAACCAAACCACTTGCTTTGCAGCACAGGCAGCCAAAACAATCTGAGTATTCCTAAAGCATCTAAATAATCTTTACAACGCAAAGAATTATTGTGACAGTAACACGGGAGCAGCTTGCTGTTGAAGCAGGGTAAAGTTATACAGGCTACAGAGGAAGCTGTGCGTCATGAGTAAAGCCCAACAGGACTGTTTTATCCACCATATTTTCTCTCTCTGTGCATCTCAAAAATGATTGCAGTGCAAAGCCTCCACATTTAGCTCCTTTCAAAGCAAAAGCACAGCTTGACCATTGCTGGGCAGCTCGGCTTAAAGAGAAATAACACTTTGTTCTTGGCTCAATCATTTTGTAGAAAGGAAAAAAAAAATTAAATAATATAAACCTATTTTACATCCAGTTGATTCAGGTATGGAGGGACCAAGACCACTGGTGAATGTGGAAGACATACAAATGTCTTGATGTACCAGATCAGCTGTTTCTGCTGGAGAGACCTTTTGCACATACTACCTCCTCCAATTAAACTTCATTCATCACATAAGTAAAATGTTAAGCAGAGAGACATGCAATATAAAAGATTTTCCCTTCTTCCATACTTCTGTGATGAAACTCTGTCTTGGAGCACAGGTGTTTTATTTCAGTCTGGCTGCTGGCCTCATGGAGGCACTAGATGGTTGAAGCCCCATTGCCTAAAGAGACACCCTTGTCAAAAATGCTCACATGGCACCAACAGGCTCATGAACTCTTTGACCATGAAAATTGCACAATCGGGCCCCTGAGCCCAGTTCATGCTGCTGGGACTGTGCAGAGGACAGTGAACTGCCCCAGTTTGATGTATCAGCCTGCTTGGCTGATTAGCTTAGCTTAGTGAGATTACAGTGTCTGCCTATCTTATGGTGATTTATTTGTTATTTTATACCCATATCCAGCGCAGTAAGACAATAATATAGATTTGTACACCATTTTGCATTGTTTAGTCATGATTTTGGCATTAATGGGCTTTACTCACTGACTGAGTTAAAAGGATAGTAAGTGACTGTAGTCCAGTACACCTTTTGTTAAATTCAGCAAATATTTCCTCAGGGTTTGCTAGCTCTACGTTTTGTGTATTCTCTGAAATTAAAATCCGTTTTGTTCTACACAGCCCTGGGTCTGTAAATGCAACACAAAGTAAGTGGCTCGGAGCGACCCCCACAACATTGTTCCAGCCAATCAGCAACAGGTAGCAGTTGTGCTCATGCACAGGAGCAGTGGGAGAGAGAAAGTTGTAAACTCTGTAGGCACTGTCCAGAAGGAGAGGTGTTGGAGAAACAGCCAAAGAGGAAAAGGGCTGGGGAGTATTAACTGTGAAAGAAGTTATATGACCTGCCGACTCGGAGGTTGCTCTGGTTCTGCTCGACAGGTGAGTAATGTTAGTTTTGCTGTTTCACAGAAATGATAGGTCAGTATTGTCCCATCTATTTGTTGTAATTGTCTGTGCCAAATCCGTACTGCCTGCCCGATCCGTTCTGCATATGCAAGTGGTTCTTTCAGTCAAAGGTTACCAAAAATCTACCTAAATCTTTCAAATTGAGATAACAAAATGTTTTTTAATCACTGGAGATGAAACTGTTAACTATGTAATAAGAATATACTTAAGATATGAAATACTTTATTCAACAGTACATTTTTAATTTCTAGTCATGACAACAATCTTACAATGTAGCAACACAAAGGAGGCTAACCCTAGCTGCCAGCACATCGGCTAATGTGCACAGCTGTAGGGTTACCTGGTCGACGTGCATACAATCGCTGACTTAGGTTTAGGCACACACCCCAATGATGGTTAGGGTTAGGGTAAGGTGCTTTGGGAAGCTGTCAACGCCTTTTATACTAACATAGCTACCTAGCTAGCTACTAGCGCTTCCAGTCTTCACAGGGTGTCTCATGAAGACGTCTTATATGGACGCTAACGGGTACTTTTTCATCAAATAATGCTTTGTCAGTCTTTCTGTTATGTCTGTGATGGTTGATCCCAACTGGTTAGCTTTGTTAGCTATGCCGCAGCAGTGGCAACAGTTTGCCCACCCACAACCCTCCTAATTGTAGTTACATTACTTGCTGTGTGTTTCTCCGCTCTGGCATTGTATGAGTATTTATTTTGACTAACAAAATATTCACTGTGATGGAAATGTTACTTAGATTCATTTATTAAAGGCAGAATTGTACAGGTATTTGGAAGGAGAACAAAATTGTACCTTTAACAAGTTGTGAGCACAAGATCTTTGTTGTTTGATGCTGAGCTAGTAGTGTGCAGTGGGATTTTAGCTAATTTAAGCTATCTTTTTAGCTAAAAACAGTCACCTGCTGTGACCAAAAACAAAACTCTAAGAGTGGTGACAGTAAACCCGAAACAGGAAAGTTACAGAATGGATGGATAAACAATCAGCTGAAACTCACAATAAAGCTCAGTAAAACCAATGGTAGCTGCAGGTTAAGCTGATAATTGCATGTTCTTATGCAACCCCCCTTCACATTGTCACACTGTTATTCAAACATGTCATTTCAAACATTTCTTTATATATGTAGATTTCAGCGGCCACTAGCGTTGCGGTGACGAAACAAACAGTGGTAGGTCCATGCTAATGTTAGCTGGCTGCCCTACTTTGCATCACTATAGGCTAGTATAAACAAATCGTTCCGCATTTGCTTTGAACATCCTTTCTTGCAGGCATAAATCAAGGCATAATACTGGCATATTATTAGTGGAACACAGATTAGTAATATGGATCCTGTTTGCTGGTAAGGTGATGTGGAAAGCCAAACAATTGTAGTATTTCGCACCAGAAAACATTAGCAAGTGCTCATCATTAGCCAGCGAGCTAACGTTATCTAACTTGAGCCAACTAAAGCCCATCATCACAATTTAGTTCACATGCGTTGCAGTAATGTTAGGATGAAAGCCAACTCTATGTTGGTTCTGTGGAGATCTCTCCATGACTCAAGCCTTTCTGGTGTTGACTGTGGTTTTCACCCGACATCGATCTGATTCTCATTTGGCCTGACGGGCTTCAACAACTTTATTGTTTTTCTTTATCCTTACGTGGAGTTTATGTTGGAGTTTGTGCTGTGCTTGGAGTCAGTTGTGGTGTTAGTGGAATGCATGTCGTTAGCTGCGGTGTTGTCACTGTAGTCCTGCAGGATGATGGGCTCCACAGTGACGCCACTGTAGTCGGAGAGATGCTCGGGAGGGCGCATGCAGCTAGAACCCGATCTGATCCCTTCACATATGAAGCAGAATAGTGGCTGTTCCAAGCAACAGAGAAAACAGGCGTGTGGTTAATTTCTAAGTGAGGTTACAGCCCATTGACAGAAAGGAATTAAAAAAACGATTTATTAAAAAGTGATTTTATTGAAAAACTACATTTTGCCTCATATGTATTTTACGCTTTTTTACGTAGCAGAAGGTAAAATTTCACTTTACCACCTGTTATAATGTGACAAATAAATCTACCTTGTACTTTGTAAAATGTATCTTTAAAACACCGCACAAAATAAGTTACATTTTTAAAAAACAATAGTACTAAGCAAAATTTTATCAAACAGGAGTAAAAAATGCATTTTGAGATGTGATGTTACACAATTAGCATGCACTACTGGTGTATATTGATTCTCAGGAATTTTCCTGGTACTGCTTTGTTTTGCTACATCTTTGATGAACTCTTTGCAATCGTCTGTTGTGTCTTTGTTCCAAGTTTATTAAGTATTTACTTGCTTTGGCAAAGTAAAGCCAATAAAGGCCCACTCAATTGAACTGAATAGCTTTGAAAATCTGCAGCTTTCCCATCTCTGGAGCACACAGCTTTTTCTTTAATTGTTATCTATTAGGTGCAAGAACAGAAGATAATTATATATAAACACTAAAAACGTGCACATTTCTCTAATTACACAGAAATATGCATTGAATATTTAAAAAAGATTATTATTTTACTACAAGTGTAAGAATGTGACACATTATATTACCTATCAGTATGTCTGTACTCGCATGCAGTTGTCAGGTAAATGTCAACATGAATTTATTTGACTTGTGATTGCACATTTATTTATATATAAAAGAAAGAACATGTAATCTTGACTGCAGAGAAGTCAGCAATAGAATCATCAGCATTTGCATTACTGACTAATGATACCAAAGTGTGTCCTTTCTTTGTCAGTGGGAATATTTTTTTTCCGCGTCTCCTGGAAACCTCTGATTAATTCATGTCCCCTCCTACCAACGTTGGGTCTGTTCAAGAGTTTCTTAGCCTCAGACAAGGTGTTTGGCCCTTGAGCATGAAAATGCAACATCTACTTCTGAATTCTTCAAACAGCTCCTTCGCTCCAGTTCATCCAACGTGACAAGTACAGCTGATTGGAATCAAGATGTGCACAAAATGTCCATCTGTCTTTCCTGGCATTTTTCCTTACATTTCTTGTGTCCTTTTTTTCATTTACAGTAAAATGGATTTCTTTTCTTTGTAGCCTTGAGATATAAGCAGCTACTATGGCAACCACATTACATTCTGATAAAAAATATATATCATTTTATGGTGCTGGGATGAGCTTTGTAACTGCTTTGTTTGTATTGTCTTCTGTTATGCGTAAGAAATCTCAGATGCATGGATACTGGTGTGTAGCACAGTTCTGTCTATTGCGTTCCCCCCCCCCCCCCAACATCCCAGACAACTTTGGTTCTAATGTCCATAGAACGCTACATATTCGTACCTAAGAATGATCAATATCTGTAATATTCACATGAGCATTGGACTTATTTGGCTGGTCAGTGGGGCAGGGAGCTTTCATGGTGGGTCAGATTCAGCTTCCAACAGCAGACCAGCAGGCTCCTGTGTGATGCTTTTGCCATCAAAGAACACATCATATTTTCCCGGGAAGACGGCATGCTGGTGTTTGGGCCCCCATCTGTTATAACGATGTTTTGCATATTGGCCATCTGCTACTGCTATGGGTGCATGTATCATGCAGCGCTCAGGGTGAGCACGGCTCTTACGTGTAGTAATCACCGAGCCAACCGAACTGTGGGATTCTACTTTTTATGTTTTTCCTGCAGCTGGCACTCAACATATATTTTGTAACCCTTACATTGATGGGAAAGAGGAAAGCATCCTCCTGCAGGACGATGGGTTCCACAGTGACGCCACTGCTAATAATCCTACCTTAATGCATCATTACACCTTTCCTTATCATCTGGAATCCGCAGATTTAAGCGACTGCTCTTTTCTGCGTACCATCAGAGGTGGAGGTGTTTCATTACAGCAGGGGAGCTGATGTAACAGAAGATCACACATGTCAGGTTGAGCACAAAAAGAACATTCCGTCTTTTTCTGAGGGCTGTTAATAGCCTCAAACAACTGACTGTTTCACATGCCTGCATGGTCACTTGAGCAGAACCAAACGCTGCTCCAATAATTGTATACATTATATTCAGATGTGTAAAATTATCTATCGTGACAATTGTTCTGTAAATATGTAAAATTTACCACCAATCTTCATTTTAACTGATGAACATGTCATAGACATCGGAGGTTATTAGAGTGAGCCAGTCTCCACCTCTGCTGTAAAGGTGAAACAACATAAAAGTCCATGGATAATTGCCATGAGTGGTAACAAGTGAAAAGTAGTTGACCACGAATTGAGCTTTGTTGCACTCCAAATAAAAAAAAAAAATTGTTTTGCTTGTTTTTTTTTTATAGTTTGGCATTGAGATTTTCCAGGATATAGGAATGTTGGCTCTGGGAGTATGAAAGGCTGTGCTTACGATCAGAAATGCCATTAAAGAATGAAAAATAAGCTCATTGCCACATTTTTTTAAATTTGCATTTCAAACTAAACTCTCTGGCATGCACTTTTGCCCTCAAAATGCCCTTAATTCTCTCTAAATATCAACCAACTAGAACTGTTTTTCGCTTTATTATTGTACGGCTTTGACTCAGGCAGTAGAGCAGGCCATCCACTGATCACAGGGTTGGGCCCACCTCCTCCTGTACGTAGTGTCCTTGTGCAAGACACTGAACCCCAAATTGCTTGGCCAGCACTCTTCTTGGTACCTTGCTTCTACTGATGAGTGAATGAGTGGCAAAAAACGTTGCCTTTACCATTTACATTACCTTGGCCTCAATGTGCACAGTAGTCTGTTAATTTAATAGCACTATCAACATCACTAAAATTATTGCTACTGTCACTACTGGTTATTGGCAATATATATGCTTCAAGGAGAAAATTGACTTTGAAGGAGGCCCTTGAAGGAAACAAAAGAAAACCATTATTGTATCTTACATCACCTCACTTTCATTTACCTGTGGTAATCAATTAGGCTATAATGTTAATTAACTATAGCTTCCAAGAAATGGAGGCAATCACTACTAC